CTGCAACAGAATACAAAGAATAGAAGTCCTTTCATCAGCTTGCTTCTCTGTTTTGAGAACACCTCTGCTTTAAAAGTGACAGGATTTTAGCGTGCTGTGGAAATGTGTTTTGCTTCACGTTGCTTTTTAAAAAGAGTATAATTTCACTTTAAAGGATTTTCCTCTAAGTGCTCAGAAATTGTAACTGGTAACACGCTTATCTTACTAGCCAGCTTAAAGCTGGATTTGCCAGAAGGCTTTGAACGAGTAAATGCGACCAAAAACTTGTGTTAAAAGACAATTGTTTCTTTAACTTCTTCTAAGTGGCTCAGATCCTGGTTAAAGTTCACAGGCTGGGAGACTTTCTTTTCCCCTTTCCATCTTAGGGATCCAGCCCTCCTTGCAGCTGGCCATAAATGAGGACCAGGCTTTGCCACTCCGTGCTTTCACAAGGTATCGTTAGGTCAGCAAAGCCATCAATTAGGCTGTCTGAAGTTTTATCACCAGCGCAGCAGCAATAAGTGCCGGCCCAGAAAGACTTCTGCTCTTCTACAACTCCTGCAGTTGGAGCCTGTAAAGGCAAGGGTCGTTTGGAGGTCAGTGCCAGCTGGGGGCCACCTCTGTGTCCAAGCGGGGACACCCCGTGCAAGGCGACCGCCTGCCTGCCCTCAACTCAGGCACCTTTCAACTCGTTAGAAACCCCCAGTCACAGGTACATGTGGTTAATATTAGGCCCAAAATAACCTTTTTTTTAATCTCAAACTGGGGTGGTTGCCGAGGCTTTTGAGCACTGGTAAAGGCAGTTAGTTGGCTGCAGAGCCTGGATTTAATTTTGCTAGTAATCCAAAAATAAGTGCTTGCATATTTCTTATTAGCTAATGCGCAGCAATCCACATCAGCACAAGTTAAGCTAAATTAATTTCCCTAAAATAATTTCAAAACTTGCCTGTTCACAAAGTATTTTTGAAAACAGGGCAATTTTCTATCATTCGGGAGCCACACTTGTTTTTGTCCCTTCTCTTTGTGTTTGAGAACACTTTGGAGCCTTCGTGCAGGTTTTGTGTGCTATTTCACAGCTCGGGCTTTCGCCTGGTGACCCTTAAGGAGTGCTAATGAAGTCGAATACTAGCGTTTAATCCTCTTCAGAAATACTAACATGCCCATCATCCAAAACAGCCTCCAATAATTGCCATTGGGCCCGATCCAACGCCTAGCAAAGTCTTTCAGTCAGCTAACTGAAAACTAAGTTCATCTGCTCATTTAGTAAATTGCTAGCCTTTATATAGCATCAACTCTGCAAGGCCTTTTGTCATGCTTCCCTCACTCCTTCCCACCCTCTGGTTAAATTCCTTCGCAGATCATAAAGGACGGTGGCACACCTTCGATTGCATCTTCTGTAATCACAGTGGTGGAAATTTCATTAGACAGATGCATAAATGCTACAAGTAACACTAAAGGGCTCTTTTGCATCTTTCTGTTTACATCCAAAAGATATTCTTTATTCTTTAGGAAAAGTACCATTCAGTTGTCAGAAATGTCATCCTGCCTCAGAATTAGTCATGACTTCAGCTATTAAAATAAGAACTCAGACACAGTCAATATATTTGTTTATTCCCTTCTGACTGCGGCACAGTGAAGGCATCACTGCCAGTTCTGTGATTTTGAAGTGTGTTTCCGTCCTCAGAGACAAAGGTCCCCGATAGGACTTATTTGCTGAGTTACTTTCCAGTAACGTTGCTGTGCTGACCAAATGGAGCCTGACCTGAACCTCTTCCATCCAGCACGCCTTTTATCAGCTAAAGTTAAGGCCAATAGAGATTAACAGGAAAGCCTGATAAGACTGTTTTCTCTTCTCCTATGAGCTTCTAATGGTGTATACAGATGGCAAGGTTTTAAAGAATGGAATGAACACTTATTTAGGCCTGTAAAAAATCACAGAAACACCCCCACACACACGCACACACTTTCCATCTTACTAACCCCTTTTCTTCAATCAGGCCAGTCTTCAGGAAAACCAAATTGCTCTTTCGTTTTTTTTTTATTTAAACCCCAACCACTTTTATTATTTACATCTGGTGGTCCCCTTATTTATGTCCCTCTTCACTTCCCTGCATATACACCCCTGCTCACAGGGCTGCGAAGCATTATGGGCCTCGGCTCTCAGCAGGAGAACTCCACACTGTCTTCAAACAAATAATTAAGGGGAAGGTTAAAGGTTCACCCAGAGGTCATATATTTGGATACTCCTCAGAAAGTTTACATTAGTAAGAAATGGGTGCCCTCTGAAGTGTTCTTTCAATGGGCTCCCACAACAAGGCAGAGCATTAAGAAAATTCTACATCCTTAAGGGTTTCAGGTAACATCTGCTTTACCTCTGAGCACAGAGATTGGGATCCTGTGCTCCAGCCTTACATATTCGATAGCCTCCACAGACTAAGCCTTTGGGACCGGTGTTGAAAACCCCATCTTGCCCAGCCATTCACTCCCAGAGGAGCAAGGCCTTGTTTTATCCTACTGATGTGAATAAAGTCAGTCTTTCACTGCAAACTCTACCTAGAGGCAATTCACTAGTTGTTTTGGAAATGGGAGTTCAAGCCCTAAAAGAGAGTACTCCGTATTTGTTTTCCTACCAAAAAAAAAAAAAAAAAAAAAAAAAAAAAAAAAAAAAAAGTGATACAATTTGTCCAATTAAAATAGCTCTTGGGTTTGATTTCTGATTTCATTATTTCTCCATTTTTCTTTTGCATATCTGCACAAGAGCAGGTGCAAGCAATGTCCTCTAAGCCAGAAACAACTTCATCTAGAGAGAAGATACACTGATGTATACTGGAAAAGACATAGGAGAACAGGGTTTAGGCATCCAGGTAATTTTGAAATTCCATTTCTATTGTTCCTCTGAAAAATCTTGTTCATAAACAGCATAAGTTATACCCACCAGTGGGCATGTCTGAAAAATGACACACGAAATTATTTATATTTGCAAGATTGCAGGTGCAAACCAGACATACATTTCAGGTGAAGCTAAAAATCGAATCCTAGGTTCACTAGCAGTAGCTACATCATGTAATGCATCAGCACAATTGGTAGACAAGGGCATAGAATGCAGTGTTTGTGCATTATTATTTATTCCTTATACTGCCCCATAAATATGCACAGTGCATAACAGAGACGTAGAAAACAGAATCCCTGCCCTAGCCTTTACGTTTTTTGAGGGCTGTTTTTGAATCCCTCAGAGAGCCATATCCAGGGTCAAAGTAAAGCAAAATACAGCCTTTCACACAGCACTTCAGTTTGTGCTGCAGAAACCCTGATGTTATTTAGGCACAAATGTCTTCAAAAGGCATTAAGAGACAGGTGAAAAAAGAGAACACCAATGCCACTGTTTTCAGCATTATCTGGAACCCTATAAAAGAAGAATTCACAGCTCTGCTCCTGACACTAATTGCTTACCTTGCTCATACCCTTCACCCAGAGGCCAAAGATTGAATGGCCTGAAAAGATGAGTAAAATCTATCAAAAAGACACAGACTTCTTTGTTTCTCTGCCGTTAATAGTAATTCCTATTATTTGGATGATAGCAGCAGTTAGAGGACCCAATGAAGCTCAGTCTTACTCCAACCCTATGCTTCACAAGCACACTGTCCAAGAGAACTCAGTCTGAACAGATTTCCAGGCAAAGCCTGGGGGAGAGGAGAGACGCCTTCTCCCTGTTTGCGGAGGGGAACAGAGACAGAAGGAGATTAAGTGACAAGGCCAAAGTCATACAAGAGATCTTTGGCAGAGCCACACTCCCAACATAGATTTCCGCAGTCCTCTTTCAGCGCTCCTACAATCTGCTATCCATATGCTATCTTTCCTTTGTTCCCCCAGCTTAACAGTTAGGCACACTGGCAGGGGACTGCAAAGAGAGCTCCCATTGCCACTGTTTGTGCCTTACCTGCTGCGTAGATAAAGAGGGGTCATCAGCCTCCAGGGCTGTGAGGCAATACCTTCACAAACTCTACATTCATATGGTATTTGGTCCTCATTCCAGAATGATAAATGAGGTGTGTAATGTTGAGAAATACATGTCATTGACATAGCAGGCTCAATAAAAAACCCACTCCCAGCATTTTGCAAATGACAGATTACCAGCCTTGCTTATTCACACAATAGCCATTTGAATCGAAAGGTTTTTTGCATCTTGTATTTTTTCTTTAATTGCTAGCTAAAGCAGCCACATCTATTTCCTATAGCCAGAGTCTGTCTTTCTCACACAAGTAGTTCTGGTTACTTTTGCGGGACAGTTCATGAAAGTACAAATGAACAAGATCTGGCTCAAAATGTACAAGAACGTGAACTTTTAAAGCAAGGCATTTCACTTTTATCTGCTTACAGCAAAACCCAGTAGTGCAATAAAGATGCACTAGTGAATATGCAATGTAGTCTGGTGATTTGGTAGCACTGGTCCTAATTGGTTCCTACCATTGATAATTAGCATGACAATATAATCTAAATATATGCATTTAATCACATCTCTTCAAACAGAGACTTGTTTTTCTTTGTCCAAAATAAATATGCATTTTGTACTTTATAGGAAGTCCTGTAATTAATCTTCTTTATATATTTATCATATTTTATCTCAAGTCATATCAAATTATGTTAAACTCAAATTTGCATAATACATTTTATTCTTATAATAAAATAAAGTTCTGATAAAATCATAAAGACATATTTCTGCAAAGTGCAAAGGCAATAAATAGCAAATAGCGATCTCTTAATCTGCTTCTTCAAACCTGGCACACTCAAAAATAATTTTATTGTTGTTTCCACTGTCTTTTTTATACATAGTGTACATATATTTTGAAACACCGTGGCCACACCATAACTGAATCCGCTTAAGAGCAGTTCTTGAAATGAACTGTTAGTGACTGTCTTGATTGGTAATCAGAATCAGAAATCTCCAGCTTTACTTTATGGCTATAATGGAAAATTCACTGTAAGGATGTAGGGTCACAACAGGTCTTGTTTCAGAAGGATGG